GTTGCGCAGCCAGTGGCCAAGCCCGATCGGACCGCCGCCCCGCTAGTGCACAGCCGCCCCGAGGTCTCTCTCGCGAGGCGCCACGCTTCAATCACTCCGCACTCGCGCCAAGCCGTGAGCGACGCGCCCGAGAGTGCCCTACACGCCAGTGCCCTGGCGGAGGGGGGACAGCGCTCTGGGCTGAAGGCGCGCAGGCCTCCAGCGCGGTCAGTGCCAGGAGTGGCGATTCCGACCAACAGCGCGGTCAGTGCCAGGAGTGGCGATTCTGACTAGGTGGGTCTTTGTGTGTAAGGGCCCCCCCTTACTCCACCCGCCCAGTCATGCTCGGCCCTCACGTTGGCCGCGCGCGTGGTCTCTCACCCTCATTGAGGCCAGTTTCGTTTTCACGAGGCGAAGGTGCCTGTAGCGGGCCAAAAAATGTTCAAGAGCCTTTGAGGAAGCCTCTAGGGAAAATGCTAAGGAAACGTTTCAGAAGCTTCCAGGAGCCTCCAAGGAGCTTTTTAGGAGCCTTTGAAGAAGCCTTTTTCGGAGCCGCTGAGGAGCCCCTGATGAAACCTCTATGGAGCCAGCCTCCCAACGAGCCTCCCAGGAAACCGCTTCAGGTGCCTCCTAAGGAGCCTCTATAAGGAGGCCCCTACGGAGACTCTAAGGAGCCCCTGAGGAAACCTCTCAGGCGCCTCAAAGGAAACTGCCTTCGAAGGAGCCTATAAGGGAACCTCTAATGAGCCTCCAGTGAAACATTACGGAGCCTCTAGGGAGCCTTCAAGGACACCGCGAAGGAGCCTACAAGGAGCCGTTTATAACAAGAAACCTCAGAAGAGGCTTTAGGCTCAAAGGAGCCTCGAAGGAAATCTGTGCGAAGCATCTAATGAATCTCGGAGGAGCCTCCCTAAGGAACCGCGAAGGAGCTCCCACGGACACCTTTGAGGAGCGTTTAAGGAGCCTCCATACGGAACCTCGAAGGAGCCTCCAACCAAACCGTTCATGTGCTTCCAAGGAGCCTCCATAAGGAACCCCGCAGAAACCTTCAAACAGCTTTTGAAAGCTGAACATGTGGTTACGGTTGGTCCGAATTGGGTGGGGTTTGGACCGACATGGTTTGAAATTTGTCCCAGATGGTTGGCATTAGTTTCATTGTCGGTTCGCGCCGCCGCCCCTCGACAGGAGAGGGGGGGGCCTGAATTTCGAATCCAAGGGGGGGGGGGGGGGGGGGGGGGGGGGGGGGGTTGAAAGCCCTCCCGTTTGGAAAGGGGGGTGGGGGGGGTCACTGACGACGGATCGGGACAGAGGGGGGGCTTTGTCGGCGACGGACCAGTGAAACGGGGGGGAGGTGGGATCCAGCGGCAGTCCCCCCCCCCCTTCTGGACGCATCCAGCGGCGCGCCCTCCTTGTTCAGCCAGCGCGAGGTTGGATACCCAGCATGCTTCACAACAGGAAGTTGGTTTGCATAGTCTGCATGACTTCGCGCTTCTCCAAAGGCCGTCGTCAGTGCGCATGTTGCAGAGCGCGGCACATCTGAAGGCTTACGCTGCAAACAATGATAACGATCGCTGTTTGTTGGAACGGCAAGCCACAGGCTATTCGGGCAAGAATTGCAGGTCTGCGGTGCCACAAATGATGAGTCCACCAGTCCTGGCTTGTTCGTCTTGCGTCGTTCTCTGGCCTGTCTATGTTTTAAAGCGCTAACTGGATGAAGCGGAGTACGTGCATCGACCGGGAGCGTGGCATATTCGCAAGCATTCACACGTCATTGCGCAGACGAGCGGGCTTGGCGGCACGCATTGAGGTCCCCCTTCCGATTTTCGATCCATCGGGGTAGGTCCCTTAGACGAGCGAGCAGAAGAAACGCAGATCGCCGTCAATCCTCCCTGGGCTAAGCGGTGGTCACGTGGAACGGGCCGACGGGTCGTCACCGTCTTTGCTAAATTGGCATTCAACCTGTGCACTTATACGAAGAAGGTTTGCCTAATCGCCTAAGGTGCTCCAAACTCCGTGTCCCAAAAAAGGAGAGGGTCACAACCTTTCCAGACGAGCAGTATTAGACCCCCCCGGACCAGTCATAAAATGGCGGCTTGTTGCCCAGATGCCTTTGGAACTTGCTAAACAGTTCCAAGCTGACCCCGAAATCAGACCACCCTCTTTTTGTCTGTGAAAGCTGAGAGGACCTTGAGCGCAAGTGGGGGAGTCCCATTGGGGCAGGAGAGGGTTGTGCACTTGCGCAAGGCCCACAAACAGGCTGCGAGTCCGTCACGCAAACGCTCACCTTTTCATGCCCAAGTTGTGTATGATGCTGGTGCAGTGCAGACGTTGCCTGCTCATCCTGCCCTGCCCAAAGGAATGCTGGATACCAAATTGCTCAGGCAGCAGAGGGAAAGAACCGTGCCCAGTCACGGGGAACAAGAGCTGGGGGAACTGGTGGCAAAAGGCACGTTAGGTCAACTGGGAGCGGGGAAAGAAGAATAGCTCCGTCAACTGACACCGCAATTGAAGGCAACCCCTTGAACGCAGGTGGCAAACACTTGGCGGGCGAAGGCGCAGGTGTGACCAGAGTTGCCGCTGCTTGCTGATCACGACGTGGCGGAGGGGTAGGCCTAGGCAAGCAGCTCCCTGGTGACCAGTGCGGATGCACATCGATGAACAGCCTCGAAGTGGGTGCAACGATGGGGCCAAGCAGAACTGACAACACACTGTCGCGGCCGGCACGCCGAGGACGTTCTCGACGATACGGTGCGCGTTCGCGAGACCTCGCGCGGGCGCCTCCGCCCCAGCGGCTGGCCGCCGAGCACGGCTGGCGCCTTGGGCCCTGAAGCGGATTGCGGGAGAGTGCGAACAGGGGCTCTCGCCTCGCCCCGTGCACTCAGAGGGCGGGGCCCAGGCAGGAACTGAGGGGGGCTCGTGTCAGAGCTGTGGGGGCGTGGGATGGAAGAGGGGGAGGAGGAGACGGAATGGGCGGATCAGGAAAAGGAGGAGGAGGAGGAGGAGGAGGAAGAGAATAGGCGGATGAGGAAGAGGAGGAAGAGGAGGAGGAGGAGAAGGAGGAGGAGGACGGGAGGAAGGCGATCAGAACGGCCTGAGGCTTCTTGGATACCTCTCGAAATCGTTTCGGATGTCTCCCAGGAGTTGTTCGGAATTCCTGTGGGCGTCCAGGGAGCCTCCCGGCTGTCATTGGGGAGCTTTTGGAGCGTCTTGGGTGCCTCGGGGGTGCTTCTTGGGGGTCTCTTGGGGACCTCTTGGGGGCCTTTGGGGGTCTCTTGCGCGCCTCTCTGGCCCTCTTCGGGCGCTCTCGGGAGCCTTGGGATTATTTTGGGGCCATCTTTGAGGAGTTCGATCAAAGGGGGCCCCTCCCCAGGAGGCCAAAAAAGGGCCCAACATCCTAGGAATGTATGGGAGTTGTACCTTCTCGCCGAGGCAATGTTGGACGCTCAAACGACTCGCGGGCGCCCCGTCAAGGGATAGAGGGCAGCGGGGATTGTCAATCTTGCCCCGAAGAGGAAGAACGGGGTTGGAAGTTGAGAAGCCCTGGATCACTCACGCCCTACAGGGCTGGTGGAACTTTGCGGTCACATCTGCGCTCCTGGCTCCTCTCGAACAACTGATCGCTGCATTCTGACGGGCCACATCTTGTGCAAGGGGATTACAAAGGCGACATGATGTGGAGACCTATCGTCGGCTTCGTTTGCTCTAAAAAAACGTTGGGACGCCCAGCGCCCCGTGGTGGTGCCGAGGAAGGGTGCACACAAAAAAATCTAAGGCCCCAATGACTCGAGAAGGGTAGTGAAAGGTGAGGGAGGAGGAGGAGGAAGAAATGGAGGAAGAGGAGGAGGAAGAAGAGGAGGACGAGGAGGAGGAGGAGGAGGAGGAGGAGGAGGAGAGGAAGGAGGAGGGGGAGGGGGGAGGAGGAGGGAGGGGAGGAGGAGGAGGGAGGAGGAGGAGGGAGGAGGAGGAGGAGGAGGAGGAGGAGGAGGAGGAGGAGGAGGAGGAGGAGGAGGAGGAGGAGGAGGAGGAGGAGGAGGAGGAGGAGGAAGGGCAATAGCCTTGGCCGGCCTCAGCAGGCCCCCCCCCGATTGGCCTGGAGGCGGTCGCAACGCCTTTGCGCCGCCGCTGGCAGCGCTTCTGGAGCGCTCCGCGCCCCAGGGTCAAGGTGCCGAGGCCGCCCTGGACTACTCGGGGCGCCTGTCGGGGCCAGCCGGGGCTACTTGTGGGGGTTGTCTTCAGCGGCACCGTAACGGGTACTTACTAACAGGTACTTTGAATGTTTGCCAAAAGTTGCCGCTTTAGGGCCTTTTTCTTGCATTGCAGCTTTGCCCACATCGGGAAGGGCTGGGTTCGCTGGGTCACTGGCCAAAGTACCCGTTAGTGGAGTCCCCGTTTGAGGGGCGCTGATGTCTGCGCGCAGCCCGGAGGGAGGTGATTGTCTGGAGGTGGCCATGCCTCGTTGTCGACGAGGCGCAAGAGTGACGTTTCGCTGGAGTGACCTGTGGTGCCGGCACGGGCGGGTCCCCAGATGGCTGAAAACGAAGCAGCAGCAGCAGCTGCCTGCACGCCCAGGTTTGGTCCCCCTGCGGCCCCCAAACAGCCGCGCACCAAAAGCCACTCTGACCCAGGGTCACTCTTGCGTGTAATCGACGTTGTCATTTCACCTGTGGGCAGCCGTACTGCCACAAGCCAAAAGAAAGATGCTGCGAATTCGCTCGCTGGTGTGGAGGAAGGGGAACCGGCGACAGATTCGCGGGCCAGAGGGAGGAGGAGGATTGTTGGTTATGTTTGTTTGCGTACCCCCGTCCTACCTTTTTCCTCGATTGCATCGATGGTGTCCAGCATCCGCACCAGAGGAGCTCCTCACCTGTCGGGCACTCGCACGAGTCGAATGCAAATCAACCTTTCCCTCATTGCCAGCCCTCGAACCATGGGAGGAGGTGAATGATTATGAGGAGGAGGGGCATGAGGCAGGAGGAGGAGGGAGAGGATGAGGATTGGGAGTGCGAGCGGGATCGCCGCAGGCGTCCGTTGGGCAGCTGAGCGTGATGGCCTTCAAAGATATGGTCGCAGACAGTGCGAACACAGGGACGGGGCGATCCTCGCATCCTCGCGTCTTGGAAATTCACAACGCATGTGTTTTTCAATGATTTTGTTGTCGGGGGGCCTCTATTGTGCCCCGGGACTGTCAGAACACAATGAGTAAGCGGTCCCTAGGATGAGGCTCATACCTCTGGGAGGGTCTTACCTCTGGGGGGCCACGCTGCGAACGAACATACGAACTCGGATGCCTGGGGAGGGCTTGGGCGAGGAGGGGCTGTCTGATTTTACGATATCGCGCTTATGAATGCAGTCGGCGGACCCAGTAAGACTCAGGCGAACATCGGGGCACAAGCAATGACATAAGCAACATCTTTCGGAGGTCCGCGCGGATTCCTTGGATGGGCGCTGGGCCCCCCTCCGTGGCTCGCCTGGGACGCCAGGGGTGGCGCCGGGGGCCCCACCAGCGGGTTCCAGCGCCGATCCGGGAAATCTGCGCGGAGCCTCCGACATTTTTGTTGTATATGCCACTGCTCGCCTCACGAAGAGCAGCGCTCAGAGCACATGGGCCACTGGGAGCGCGAACGGACCTCTGGGGGGCCCCAGCTGAAAAGCCGGGCGGAGCCGAAGGCTGAGCAGCAGATGCCTTGCCAGAGCAGGGCCGTGTCTGAGATGGTGGGGGTCTGCTTCTTGGGGATTTCCCGTGGTACATGTGCATCCGACGACGAGGAGGAGGAGGAGGAGGAGGAGGAGGAGGAGGAGGAGGAGGAGCAGGCGGAGCAGGCGGAGCAGGCGGAGCAGGCGGATGAGGCGGATGAGGCGGAGGCGGAGGAGGAGCAGGCGGAGCAGGCGGAGCAGGCGGAGCAGGCGGATGAGGCGGATGAGGCGGAGGCGGAGGAGGAGGAGGAGGAGGAGGAGCAGGCGGAGCAGGTGGAGCAGGCGGAGCAGGCGGAGCAGGCGGATGAGGCGGAGGCGGAGGAGGAGGAAGAGGAGGAGGAGGAGGAGGAGGAGGAGGAGGAGGAGGAGCAGGAGGAGGAGGAGGAGGAGGCGGAGCAGGCGGAGCAGGCGGAGGGATGAGGCGGAGGCGGAGGGAGGAGGAGGAGGAGGAGAGGCGGAGGAGGCGAGGAGGAGCAGGCGGAGCAGGCGGATGGGCGGAGGCGGAGGCGGAGGAGGAGAGAGGAGGAGGAGGAGGGAGGAGGAGCAGGCGGAGCAGGCGGAGGCGGAGGCGGAGCAGGCGGAGCAGGCGGAGCAGGCGGATGAGGCGGAGGCGGAGGCGGAGGAGGAGGAGGAGGAGGAGGAGGAGGAGGAGGAGGAGAGGAGGAGCAGCGGAGCAGGCGGAGCAGCGGAGCAGGCGGAGCAGGCGGACGAGGCGGATGAGGCGGAGGCGGAGGAAAGTTGAGGAGGAGGAGGAGGAGGAGGAGGAGGAGGAGCAGGCGGAGCAGAGCGGAGGCAGGGAGCGGCGCAGCAGGCGCAGCAGGCGGATGAGGCGGAGGCGGAGGCGGAGGAGGAGGAAGAGGAGGAGGAGGAGGAGGAGGAGGAGGAGCAGGCGGAGCAGGTGGAGCAGGCGGAGCAGGCGGAGCAGGCGGATGAGGCGGAGGCGGAGGCGGAGGAGGAGGAGGAGGAGGAAGAGGAGGAGGAGGAGGAGGAGGAGGAGGAGGAGGAGGTCTTGTACAGCCAAGATGCCGAAACACTGAAGCAAGGACCGCTTTGGGGTTCGGACGGGACCCGGTGTTCCTTTGGCCACTCCGTGGTTTGTTTCCTCGGGCCCTCGTCCTCCTCCTCCTCCTCAGCGCCCCCGGCCGATGCGCTTCTGGTGCTGGTGCTGCCAGAAGTGCCCCCAGCATGCCGGGGGAGGCCCAGTGCCCCCACGGCCTCCACAGCCCCCGCGGCCTGCAGAGCTCGCGTCACGAGGCTGCGAGGGCCCTTCTGGGGCTCCAGAGCTGGGCGAAACAAATGGGGGGGGGTCCTCGGGCCAGGGGGGCGCCTCTGGCAACCCTCGACCGATGCCGCAAAGGGGCTGCGCTCCTTCTGGTCCGTTGCGGCTGCGAGCGCCCTGCCCTCTCGGAGCCCAGACCTCCGACGTCGTGTGTGTTTTGCAACCGGGGCCCCCCGAGGTCTGAACCTTCCGAGTCGGAGATCGATTACAGACTGGCGTTATCCAAAACATTGAAGTCCTCGTCGAATCTGCGAGGCAAGCACGTCGAGAATGTACAGGTCCTATGTTTTTTCTCGTAGATTCGACGAGCAAGTCAGTTTTGGGCTAAATGGATGGTGCAGTCGATCTACTACTCGAATCTCTTCCTCGGCACCGAGCTTCATCCGTCGTCGCGTTGACGGTCCTGGGGGCCCGGCAGGGCCGCGGAGGCCGCCGTCGTGCAGAACAAAACGCATTTGTAGCATGCCGCGAGGAGCGTGGCGTGTCCCGCGGCGCGAGGAGGTCTTGGATTATGTTGGGCCTGTCCCTCTACAGGAGGAATGTTCAAAGATAGGCCAAAAATAGTCCAGGGAAGATTTCTCTACTGTTTTTGACTCTTTTCGTACATTTTTGGGGTATTTCCCATTTGTCGTCCAAAATCCGCCTGCAGGGGGACATGCCCGACCTGAGTCTTGGAGGCCCCCCCCCCCGATCGCCCCACCCCTCCGCGAGAGCGCGCCGCGGAGGTCGAGAACCGGGAACCACCGCGTGACGCCGAGCCCGCGCCGCTGCTGGAGCAGCACGGCAAGGATGCGCCATCCCTCGGGGGGAGTCCTTCTCCTCCTCCTCCTCCTCCTCCTCCTCCTCCTCCTCCTCCTCCTCCTCCTCCTCCTCCTCCTCCTCCTCCTCCTCCTCCTCCTCCTCCTCCCTCCGTTGCCATTTTGGCTCAAGCGTGCCAGCGCACGCGCGAGCGGGCATCCTCACTCTCGAGGCTTTCTGGTGCGTCAGGCGCCAGCGGACATACCTTTACCCAGTAATTCCTAACCCTTAGATAAAACGAAACGCACAGTGCACGCGCGATGGCCGCCCGCGGTCGTGGCGGTGCTGATTCTGCTGCTGTCTCTGACGAGGAAGCGGCTCGCGACCCCAACGAGAAGAGCCGCAGCGGGGAACGTGCCCGAGGCCGGCGGCCCCGCGCTGAGGCCAAACAGGATCCTCTGGCCGAGCGGGATCCTTGGAGCGGAATGGCTGCCCAGCGTGGCCGGCCCTCCGGGGAGCCCCCTGGCCCCGCCGCGGGAGGGTCCTCAGGGAGCGCTGGCGCTGTGGTTCAAAAGCACATGGACGCCCTCTCGGAGAAAATCCGCGAGTACATGGCTGAGCAGTTTACCACCGCTATGGACTCGGTTCGCGAGGAGCTCGACGCAATGGTCGAAGATAAACTTGCTCCCCAAGCTGCCAGGCTCGAGGAACATGCTACTGAGATTGCTCAGATCAAGGAAAAGAACGCAACCTGGAGAAGGAGCAAGCGGGGCTGCAGGCCGCGGTCAAGGAGCTGCAGACCACGCTGGCGGTGGCGGAGGCGCAGGTTGCGGCGCCGCTGGACCCAGCACGCCTTGCCGATTGGAACAGGACGGCTGACCCTGCCCTCTTCGTCCTCTCCTGTCAGGCCCCCGCCGCACCAGGAGAGGTCAAGTCCGCCATTTCGCAATGGCTCCAGGCCGCTAAGGTCACCGAGGACCAGGTCACGCTCCTCGGCGACCTCCCGTCGAAACGTTTCCACCTCCACTGCCCTGGTGGCGCTGCGGGCGTTGCCCGCGCTGGGGCACTCCAGGCTGCGCTCAAGCTACCAGGCGGACAATGGCGTCGATTTGACGTGCTCTCGGTCAACGGCCAGCGCGTCACCATGTACACGAATGCCGACAAGAGCGCGAAGGACATCCGTAAGTAGGTGCACACGAAGAAACTCTTGGGCCTCATCAGGGCTGCGGTGCCCAGCAAGGACTGCTGGGCGCGCCGACCGAAGGGCCTTGTCTACGTGGACTCTGTGCCGATCGTGGAGGTGCAGGTGCGTGGCCCCGACGAGGCCTCCCGACTGGCCTGGGACGGGTCCGCCACCGCCCGCCTCGGCATCGACAAGCAGGCCATTACGAACCAGTTCCAGGCACTCTGGCGCGAGGTCGACACCTCTGGATGGGACTCTTCCTAGCCTCCGGTGGGCTCCGTGGGAGGTCGGGGCCGCTACCCGTGGGCTCTCGGTGGTGACGTGGAACGCTCGCGGCCTGCTCCTCCGTGCCGCCGCCAGGAGGCGGCGGAAAGTGAACATGGTCGTAGAGCACCTTCGCCAGCGCTCAATTGTGCTGGTCCAGGAAGTCCACGGCTTCACCGAGACGCTCCAGAACTACCTCAACCAGTACAGCATCCACTACAAGATGTATAGCTCTACGACTGGTCGTCCGGGGGCTGGCGGGATCGCAATTTTGATCCCTTGGCACGACCATCACACTATTGCCGCTGCTGGCACGGCGGCTCTCCCTCAGATCCAGAGCCGCGAGTTGGAGCCAGGGCGCGCTGCCGTTACGACGATCACCAACCCCAAAACGCAATGCGCCATTAAAATCATGAGCATCCACAATTATGACCTCACCGAGCTTGGGAAGGATCGCATTCGGCGAGCGTGGCGGGATGCTGCGCACTGGGCGCACGAGGACCCTATGAAGAGGACCTTCGTTGCAGCTGGCGATTTTAACATGACCGATGTGCCAGCGGAGTCTCTTTTGTACCCTCGGCCGCATCAGGCCCAACGGTCTGACGCCAGCAGGGCCAATCGATCCGAACCATTCTGGAGAGATATTTTTGTCAATCCCAACATGCTTGAGGTGTGCTCGCCGCTCCCCACCCACTTCGCGAAGGACTCAGGGACGCTGCGCACGATTGATCGGATCTTCGTCTCACTCGCATCGTCTTTCGCGCTGGAGACCGAGTGCGACCTCCAGCTGGTGCACGACGCCGTGACGCTGGACGCGCAGAACCTCAGCGACCACGCAATCCTCTAGCTTCGCATGAAGACCAGGCAGGCCACGCCCAAGGGCGAGAGGAAAATCCCAACTTTCATTTTCAAGAACCCTGAGTACAAGCGGATCCTCGCCAACTGCCTTGATGGTTGTCGCATCGAGTTCAAGCCTGTTTTTGAACAGTGGCGCGACATCAAGGCCATGATGACGCTCGCCGCGGAGCTCGCTCGGAACGAGCTGCAGTCCAAGGCGCTGGTGGTCGACAGCGACAGTGGGCGGCACGCGCGACTGTTGACCCTCAACTCGGTCGCCAGGGCCGTCTGGCGGCAAGACGCTCGACTGGCCAGGAGGCTCATGCATGATACGCCCATCGGTGCCGCGGAGCTCGAGCTCGTCGACGGCGCCGTGCAGTTGAAGAGGCCTGGCGACTTCCACACGCACGTGCGGGAGGCGCAAGCGCAACTCCTGGAACGGGAGACGGCGGCGCTCGTCGACAGCGCCAGTGGGACACGCCGGCGGACGGCGGAACTCATGATCAAGCGAGCGCTGCTGTGGAACCCCACCAAGCGCGCATTGGTGCTTTCGGGGATCCGCCACACGCAGACTGCCGGGCAGGGAGGCAGCGCAGTCGCAGTAGCTAGGGAACCTGAGTCCATGATCGCAGAATTAAAAAAGCATTGGCAGCCAGTGTTTACAGAATCGCCTGCACAGGAAGATCAGATTGGGCCGTTTCTTGATCGGCACATGCCTCGTTTTGATAATTCTTTCCTCTTCCCTCCCTCTCCGACCTCCGCCTTGCCTTGAGGCGGCCCCGCGACTCCGCGCCAGGGCCCGACAGGCTTCCCGCGCGAGCATGGCGAGCCCACCCTCTCCTAACAGAAGTGCTGCATGGCGTAATGTGTCAGATGGCAGACGGTTCCCCGCCACCTGCCGGTTTTAATTTCTGTCTTCTCGCTTTTCTCCCGAAAGGAGAGGAGGTCGCTGATTTGGCGGAGTGCACGCGGACCCCGGGCTGCACCCGCCCATTAGCTTTGAAAAACTCAGACAGCAAGGCGGTCGCAGCGGCACTGAATCTTCACATTTCGGGCGTCGTGTCGAAAGACGCCCATGGGGCCCAAAAGGGATTCGTCCGTGGGCGGCGCTTCGGTGAGCATATCATCGCGCTCGACGCTGAATCTAGGCGCGCGGGACACCTTCCTCAGGCTGCCACTCGGCTCCCTGGGTTGCTGAGATTTGATGTTAAAGTCGCTTTCCCAAGCATGTCTCAAGTCTTCCTCCGCCGTGTTGTCGAACGCTTCGCCCTCCCTGCACCCTATTTGTCGTTGCTCGATGGGCTTGCTCATGATACTATTGGGCACGCACGTGTTGGGGAACAGCTGGAGGCTCTCTTCCCGATCACATCGGGCGCCCCCCAAGGGTGTCCTCTGTCAGGAAGTCTGCGGGCGTTGGCGTTCGACCCCTGGATACGGTGTTTGTGCGAGGCGTTTCCTACGGAGGACGAGGGGACCCTTGGGGGCTGCGCTGATGATGTAGGTGCGGTCACCATGGATATAAGCAGGACTTCGCACCTTCACCGCACATTCCAAAAGGCTGAGGAGCTCGCTGGTCTCGAATTGCAGCCGCAAAAATGATGTTTCGTGCCCCTTTGGGCGGACTGCGACGAGACCGTCCGCGAGCAGGCTCGCGCCGCCCTTGCACTGCACGCTCCCGGCTGGGAGAGTTTCAAGATCGAAGGGGCTGCCAAATACCTCGGCGTCATGCTCGGGCCTTCGGCGGACCTTCCGATACAATGGAAGGGCCCTGGACAAAAATGGTGGGGCAGGGTGCGGGAAGTGGCTTTGTCCAGGGCTCCTTCTGAGGCCTCGTTGCGACTTTATCTCACGGTTATCCTCCCCTGTCTCTCCTACGTTGCTCAGTTTTTCCCTCCTGACCCCACGCTTTCGGCGAAGGAGGGACAGGCTCTTCACAAACTACTGCGGTTGCCTCCTAATTCGTTCCGGGTCGCCGAGCTGATGGGCGTCGGGAGGTGGTTGCCCAGCGCTGCTCCTATACCCGTCAGCGTGTCTTGCCTTGCCGCTGCGTGGAGAGCCAGCCAGTACACGTTTCGGGGGTGGAGGGCTCGGCGGGATCGGCTTCGAGATGCGGCTCACAACCACGGATTCCTAGTGGATTTTGTTCGCAACGTATGGTCTCCTAGGTTTTGGGTTCGGCGTCAGAGCATTGCAGAATATTATGCCTCCTTTGACTGCCCGCCCAACGATGGTAGGGTTCCGAGGCAGGCGTTTGAGCGGGCGAAGGCCGCTGCACTTGCTCTTGAATGTGATAACGTGCCCCGCTCCGGGAAGACAGGGGTTCGTCCTCAGACGGCCTTCCTCCGCTCGTTATGCTCCTCCCTCTACCCCGACGTGATCCCTGATCTTCTGGAGCGGCGTTTTCGCAAGTGGTTCCCCGATCGGCCCCCTTTGGGACGACCAGAGCTCGAATAACGTTGGGCCAGGCTTCGAGACGTCCTCAAGGCGGCGGCTCCGTCACGGACATGGGCCCATTTAAAAACGCTCGCAGGGGCCTGGATCACGTCAGCCCGCGTGGGGATACTCACGCCTAAGGGTTGCCGGTTCGGGTGCTCCCAGGACTGTCTGGGCATCGAGGTCTGCGCTCCAGATTCGATCGGGCACTATTTATATAGCCCCCGGCTCTCCCACCTTCTCGCTCTCCCTCGTGCCATTATTCCTAATGACCCGGTGGTCCGATTAGGGCTTGGCCCTGCCTCCGCGTACAATGTGGACAGGGAGTACGATCCCATCTCCCTTGAGCGTGCTAACTATTTAACCGCTCTGTCATTCCATATCTACCATAAATACCGTGCTGAGCTTCAGCAACATCCACGTTTACAAGGCACTTACACCTCGACATTGCGTGCGAGGCACGCCGCGATTGTCGCTCTTGGCTGATGCTGACGGACGGTGTCCCCCCAGGCGACGTGCTCTCCTCCTCCTCCTCCCTCTCCTCCTCCTCCTCCCCCTCCCTCGGGGGGAGCCCTCGCAAGAGTGCGCCGCGGGCGCGGGCGGAGAGCGCGCAGGCCACAGGTCAGGCGGTCGCGGACATAGGTCAAGGGGGCGTGGATCAGCGACGGGCCCCGTTTCCATGGGAAGTCGCGGATGTCCGCCGCCGAGCGGGGCGGCACCGGCCGCATTTTGGGGAGGGCATTTCCCCGACCCATGGGTTTGGCGACCGCGCGCCTAGTCCATGGATCGCTAATCCCTGTTTACGCGCCCCTGAGGAGAGCGCGCAGGCCACAGATGTACCAGAGGTGCCACCCCTGAGCGTCATGGATAAAAAGATCGCCGGCGCATCAGAGGAAGAGGAGTTCGATGGCGTTGAGCGCAACACATCAAAGTTGACCAGCATCAGGAAGAGTTGGGTCATCGGCGAGGCCCTAAAATACGTTGGTTCCGATCCCGATCCGACCGAAGACGCCTGGCCGGAGGTGATTGACAAAGTGCCATTCTGCACCTCTTGTCTCAAGAGGTTACGAAGCACGTATGGACTTCTCGGCACAGTGGAGGCACCGCTCAGGACAGATCCGTTGTCGAAGTTTGCGGACGGGCACATATTTGAAACGCTTATTCACGTAACTATTCTTCTCAACAGCTTGTTTATGGTCTTCGCGGCAGATCAGGAAATGGCTTACTACGACCAGGAAGTGCCAGAGGTGGTTCAAGTTGGCGAGCTGTGTTTCTTAGTTGCCTATTCGTTTGAGTTCGTCGTGAAACTGTGGCGTTACCACGGGTATTTTTTCATTGACGTCGATTGGAAATACAATTGGGTCGATGTCACCCTCCTTGTCCTTAGTGCTTATTCAATTTTTTTTGAATCCATGCTTCCGAACCTCTCTTGGCTGCGGATGATGCGAATGCTCAGGTTGTTCAAGGTGATCCGCGTGCTTCGCTTGATATCCATGGTGAAGCCTTTACGCGCAATTCTCAAGTCGTTGTTCGAAACCTTGGGTACGCTTTTCTGGAGTCTGACACTGCTGGCGTTGATTTTAGCATTGTTTGCTCTGATTTTCGTTATGCGCGTTGCGAGCTACATGAAAGATGAGGGCCAGTCGTTGGACGAAGATGCCGCAGAGGCGCTCTTGAGTTCTTACAGTTCGGTGGGGGTGACGTTCAGACATCTGTTCGAAGCTACCACTGGTGGGAACGATTGGATTGTATTCTACTCTCCGCTGGAGCCGACCGGCTTTGTCAACTGTGGAATATTTTATTTCTTCGTGGCCTTTACTCAGATTGCAGTTCTGAACACCCGAAGGGCCACGGCCTCTGCCGCCGCACCCCCTCAGGTTGAGCCATCCCCAGGCCAAGTCTGGTGGACAGCTCTGGGGGACCTTGGGCCATCCTGGGGCTTCATGGGGTTGGGGCATCTAGGGCCTCTCGATAATCTTAGAGACAGACTCGGCGATGTGACGTTTAGTTTGAGGCCTCGGGAGACACTACTGGGGGGGCATTTTCGGGCCATACCGAGGCCTCCTGGGGCTGTGCAGGACGAGCTTGGCGGCATCACGGAGCCTTCGAATATACCCTGGAGCCGTCTCGGTCTGCAGTGAAGCGATAAATGGGACATTTAGGAACAGAACTTGGGATAGCAAAACAAATCCTGAAATGATTCAAGCTACTTCAATACTGATTGCACTGGGGTTGATTATATGTATGTACGGTAATCGGCATGCGCTTCCGGGCTTTGGGTTGGTGAGCGCCCGCGGCCGCCTCGTGCGTTGGCCAGCGTCCTCGTGGCCGCCTCGTGGCCCTCTCGTGGCCGCCTCGTGCGCTGGCGGGCTGCTTCTCCTGTCACCTGGCCGCCTCGTGCGGCGACTGACGTCACGGCACCTGCGCATGGTGGGTGCCCGTGACCGTTTCGCCTCGTGCCTCGGCCGGCGTGTTTGGACCTTGTCCCAGTGTGCGCCCCATGGTTGCCTCGAGGTTTCCTCGCGCGTTGGCTGGCTATTCGACTGCACGCATTCTCTCCATCGTCCTTGGCGCCGCGGTCGTTACCATCGCCACCACCATTTAGCGACCTGCAGGACGAGTTTGTCTGCGCTGTTGAATTCCACGCGCTGGGGCGCTCGTTGAGACCAAGCATGGTCATGTTGAGTTTTGCCAACACGTTGCGGGTGGGAGAGTGGGACATGTTCATGGGCAGTGGAGTTCACGACTGCAAGATCTTCACGATCATTTGCACCACATTATTTGCACCAAAGAATGCGCACCACGCAAAAAGCATCGCATAGATCGTTCCGAACATCATCGTCTGTTCCAAGAACGATCGACCCCTCCACTCTCCCAAGCCTTGTCTTATCGCTTCCCCCTTGGATTGTACAATTTACATTTGCGTCTGCATGATCGCCCATTTTACATATGGACTCTGGATATCCCAGCCAGGCCGGCTCCGCCTCCCCTCGCCTTTCACCCCTGTCAAGTCATACGATTCGCGCGCGCGTTTATTTCAAAAGATCCGTTTTCAAGAATCCCTGACACAAACTACCACAGAGTCCACACGCACGTGCAAGTCGAAACGAGATGAACACACAGCAGTTCAGGAAGCGTACGAGCACAGGACGAACCGCAGGTTTTGTCATCAAACACCGTGCAGAGATTCTGCCCGCGCGCACTTTTCAACACTGGGATTTGGGCTGCTCCTATGCACAGGAAGGTGCGAGGAATTTAATAGGTGTGGGGGCAAGCCTACGGTGCATGGTCAGCGCTCTCAAATCGATTGCAGCAGGGCAGAGTGCCAGCAGTTGAGTCCAAGGAGACCCAGAGAATCCTAGCCAGTTGCTAACGAAGGCTAGAAACAGAACAACAAATTCGAGGACGTCATTGGCGATATGGGGGGCTCCTCCACAGGTCCCAGAACGGTGCGGTGTCGGACCGTGCGGTGCGATCTTCTTGTGCCGTGCTGGGCGCGCTCGCCAGGCGCGTTTTTTGTTTGCCTTCCTCGTTCCTCGTCCCCCCCCTCTTCCTCCGCCTTCTCCTCTTCTGGCCTATCCGCGTCTGTTTGTCACCTGTTCTCGCCGCTGGGCTTGTGGTGGCTTCCGATTCCGATCCGATTCGATTTGGGATTCCGATTTGGGTGCCGATTCCTCAATGGAGGCCTACTCGCCTGCCGATTTCCGCCGATTCGATTTCTCCCGACTTGGCTGCCGATTTCCGCCGATGCGATTCGTTTCGATCGCCGATCCGACTTATCGATTCGATTCTGGGCTCTCCTGCTTCGCGATAGAGCGGTTCAACAACAGTTGGAACCCAACATGTTTTCCACGAGGAAGATTGTCGTTTTGCTTTTGACGTTGCGCCGTCGTCATCGTCATCATCCCCACCACCATCGCTACTATCACCATCGTTGCCGCCCTTGACGACGTCCCAGCGCGCCTACTGGGCTTTTGACTCGCGCCGAACAGTTTCCATCTGCAAGCGCCATGTTTGCCGCATCCTTTGTGCAAAACTAGCAGGTCGCCTTGCGTGTTGGCTGTCTCGCGCCTGCGCATCCGCACAGTTGCGCCAGTAGGTGCCGGTCGGCAACCGCAATCGTGGCCGCATTGATTTGCCAAACAAATTGCGGGTGGGAGGGTGGGCTGATTGCGCGAGCAGTGGATGTGACAATTCACAATTTGACACAACTTGTTTGCACCACGTAGGCGGCATCATATATTCAACCTCACCGACATTTTCCTGTCACCCCGAAATTAGAATTTACGCCCCCGTCAAGCCCACGGCTTACGGTCCCTCCGCGCGTTTCGATCCTAGTCACAAGTAATGTACCAGGCATGGACACATGTATGCAAAGTTATATGTAATTGTATACATACATACACACATCTGTGTACATATGTATTTAATTATATATATACACACAAACAAGTGGCCTTTGCGTGCCCAGGCTTCAAGGATGCAGCTACAGCACGAAGCATCGTAGAAAACGTGCACGAGGGGGAACTTGATGTCGGATCCGAGGAAGAGGAGGAATGAGATGGAGAAGAAGAGGATTCTGAGGATCAGAGGGCCGTCGGGGGGTGGCACAGCAGCGGGATCGCAGTCGACCGCTTGTGGGCTTGCCACACGTTTGCGTTGTGTGTGTGGTATGCGTGGTGTGTGTGTGGTGTGCGGTGTGTATGGTGTGTGTGGTGTCTGGTGTGTGGTGTGCGTGGTGTGTGTGGTGTGTGTGTGTGTGTGCGAACGTGTGTGTGTATGTGTGAATGTGTGTGTGTGTGAGTGTGTCTGTGTGTGCGTGTGTGTGTGTGGCAGGAGGGTGTTCTATCTTGCGTTTGCAGTTTACATGATGGAGCTCCGAAGCCAATGCTCTGAGGATTTCTGGAGCGAAACTGTCGTTATGAAAACTGTGTGGACAACTTCGGGGGGATGTCTCACGCGAAACGGTTGTTCCCCACATCCTAAGTGGGTATATTGTTTTCTTTGGACACCCCGCGCTGTCCTCCTCACCCCCTCGCCTCCGCACGCGCACACACACCATCATCATCGTCATCATCGCCGTCATTCTCGTCACATCATCACAATCAGCTTCATCATTTGTCATCCCACTACATCCTCACTCATCATCATCCACTCTCTCTTCCTCCCGCTCACTCACGTTCTTCCATGAGTCACGCGTCATCCTGGCATGATCCATCATGGTCATCGGGCCTCAACATGATCATCGTCACCATCACCCGCGCACACCACCATCGTCATCATAATCATTATTTCGTCATGATCATCGAACAAGAGGGGCCTTGTCTGTGAGTGAAATGCGAGGAAATCTCAACCGGGAGCCCCCTCCCTATTGGGCCCGCACTTCACGTTGGTAATCCGAGCGGGCCATCAGCGGCCATCGGAACCTTGTAATTGTTTTCACGGTTGCGCTTTTCTGGCGCGCATATGGAGGAAGTCTCGAGCGGGAGCTTCGTTTGTGAGTGAATTGTGAGGAAGTCTCAGGTGGGAGCCCCCTCCTTATGGGGCCCACGTTTTATGTTGTTAGCCAGGCCAGGTCATCCAAACTTGAACCTTGTTACACTCGTCACTACTAAGTTTATATGGCCTGGGTATGGAGAAAGTCTCGAGCGGCAGCTTCGTCTGTGAGTGAATTGTGAGGAGGTCTCCAGCGGGACCCCCTGTATGGGGCCCGCGCTTCATGTTGGTAATCCGAGCGGGTCATCGGAATCCTGTAACCGTCGCCATTTTGGGGGGTTTTCTGCATTGGAAACGGAGGAAATCTCAGGCGGGAGCTTCGTCTGTGACTGACTCTTGAGAACATCTCGGGCGGGAGCCGCTTCCCTGCGGGCTCCGCATTTCATGTTGGCAACCCGAGCAGGTCATCGGAACCTTGTACCCGTCGTCACTTTTAGATTTTTCTGGTTTCAGTATGGACGAAGGCTCGAGCGGGAGCTTCGTCTGTGAGCGAATTCCGATCAAGGCTCAGGCGGGAGCCCCCTCCTTACAGGGTCCGCATTTCACGTTGGTAATCCAAGCGTGTCTTCGGAACCCTGTAGCAGTCGGCGGTTCCCGGCTTCTCTGGATTGAATATGGAGGAAGTCTCAAGAGGGAGGTTCGTGCCTGAGTGAGTTGCGAGGAAGTCTCCAGCGGGAACCTCTCCCTATGGGGTGCGCATTTCACGTTGGTAATCCGAGCGGGTCATCGGAATTTTGTATTTGTCGTTACTTGTCCGTTCCTCTGGATTGCATATGGAGGACGTCTCAGGGGGGAGCCCCCTCCCTACGAGGTCAGCACTTCATGTTGATAATCCGAGGTGGCCATCGGGATCCTGTAATAGTTGTCACTGTTCGGCTCCTCTGGATTGAATACGAAGGGAGTCTCAGGCGGGAGCTTCGTCTGTGGGTGAATTGCGAGGAGGTCTCAGCCGGGCTCGGCGGCGAGGGCGCCGGCATGCGTCTCCCTGCCACGAGGAAGGCGAGGTGCATAAGGACAACAGGAGGGATGGAGATGAGGAGGGGGGAGAAGGAGGAGGTGGAGGAGGAGGATGAGGAGGAGGAGGAACAGAACGAATAGGAAAAGGAGAAATTTAACAATGAGGGCAGAAAGGAGGAGGAGACGGAGGACGAGGAAGACAAGGAGGACGAGGAGGAGGCGCAAGAGGGGGCGAGACGGGGGTCCTCGGCCAGGGCGAAGACGAAAGAGCGGAGGCCGATCAGCATCTGTTGTGCGTTTGGGCTTCGACGCCGCGATCTGACCGGAGGGCGCGATCGCTTTTCAAGATTCTGAGGGTGTCCCGAGCGAAGTGGCCAAACCACTTGCAACCGCTACTCTCAAACTTTTGCCTCTGAGCCCTACTTCCTTGAGGAGGTGAGTATGAAACTATATATATATATATATATATATATATGAAACAACGCGCTCTGTGGGCGCTTGGGGGGGGGTGGCGGAGAGTTTCCAGAACCGGGCCCCCCTCCCTCTTTCCTTGGTTCATGGGGGGGATTCGAAACCCCCCTGGCCCCCCTCCCCCGGACCGCTGCAGTCGCCTGCTGCGGCCCCTGTCCCGCTCCCGGGCCGGCGCCGGGGGCGGCTAGCGGCGGCGGCGCGGAGCGTTGACGAGGACGACGATTCAAGGGGAGGCGGGGGGTTCGGACCCCCCCACCATCTTCCTCCGGGCCGGCGACGGCGCAGGCGCCAGCTGGCGGCGGCGGCGGCGTTGGCGATGGTGACGACGACGACGACGACGATGACGATGAAGACGACGACAGCGACGACGACGACGACGACGACGACGATGACGCCGAGGAGCACGACGACGACGACGGCGACGACGACGGCGACGACGTCGACGACGGCGACGACGACGACGGCGACGACGACGGCGACGACTGCGACTACGACGGCAACAACGACGACGATGAGCACGACGCTCACGACGATGACGACGACGACGATGAACACGAAGACGACGACGACGACGACGACGACGACGACGACGACGACGATGGCGACGACGACGGCGACGACGACGACGATTGCGACGACGAAGTCAACGATGACAACGGCGACGGCGACAGCGACGACAAGATGACGACGACGAGCACGACGACGACGACGAGCACGACGACGACGACGACGACAAGAACGACGACGATGACGACGGCGACGACGACGATTGCGACGACGACCACGACGGCGACGACGACGACAGCGACCACGACGACGACGACGACGACGACGACGACGGCGACGGTGACGACGACGACGACGACGACGACTACAACGGCGACGACGGCGGCGACGATAACGACGTCGTCGACGACGACGACGACGGCGACGACGACGATGTCGACCACGACGACGACTACGACGACGACAAGATGACGACGACGGCGACGGCGACAGCGACGACTGCGATGAGCATTACGATGACGGCGACGACGAGAAGGACGGCGACGACGACGAAGACGAAGAACGACGACGACGACGGCGACGGCCGCGACGACGACGACCACGATTATTGCGACGACGACGACGAAGACTGTGACGACGAGCACGGCGATCACGACTACGACGGCGACCACGGCGACGATGGCGAGGCTGACGACGACGACAATGGCGACGACTACGACGACGACCACGACGACCACGACGATGACACGACGGCGACGACGACCATCTTGAAGGCCTCTTGGGCCCTCTTAGGGCCCTCGTTTGCACTCTGTTGGAGGCCTTGGTGACCCTCCTGGGGCCATCTTGGGGGCCATCGATCAAAAGAGGGGGCGTTGCCGATTTCAGTCCCCCCGTCAGGTCAGGATAAGTCGTCTCTGGAGGCCCTCTTGGGCCTCTCTTTTGAGACGCACTTGAGGCCGTCTCGGGCCCTCGTGCGCCTCCATTTGGGGCTCTTTTTGGGCCATCTTCAGGCCGTGTTGAGGCCTCAAGGGGCCCATCGGAAGCGAATTGGCGAGACGGCAACAGAAGCATGTAAAAGCATCGTGTTGTTGAATGACATTCGTTTTCTGATTCATTGTTTTGCCGATCGGCGCGGGCCCTCGCACCCCCGCCAAGCGGAGTATAGCTTGACTGTTTTTGGCGCCTGTTTCAAGCAGGTGGAGTCTCTCCCATAGGACGCACTCTTGCACACAATCGCATTCACCAGATGTCCAGAGCCAGACCCCCCCTCTCTCCCCCCCTTTCCGCCCAATGTCCAAACGCCGTATAAGAAAACGTTCACGTGAGATTGGCCGCTTGGGGGCCTCCTTGGGAGGCTCGGAGGGCACTTGGGGCCGCCCTGGGGTGATCTGCAGGGCTCTCGGGGGCATGTTGAATGCTATGCTGAACCATCTTGGGATATCCTGGGCGATCTTGGAGGCCATCTTAGGCTCTCTGGAGCCCTCTTTGAGCCACCTGGCGCAACAGACAAAATACCCTACACGTCGCGGGGTGAGGGCTTCAGACCCACGAGGGTGAGGTAGGGAGAGGAGGGATGCCCTCCCCGACGGGGAAGAAGGGGCTTAGCCTAACGAGATCCCTAGACCACTCGACGTAGAGATTCCTGTAGGTGTTTCTCGTTTCACTGATAGCCTGGCTGCGGATCTCTATCAATGAGCGTCCGTGTCTGAATGCCCAACAACCTCTTCCTTTGTCCTCCTCCTCCGTCCTTTTCCACCCCTCCCCCTACTTCCTCCTCTTCCCTGCTCCCTCCTCCTCCCTCCTCCCCCTCCTCCTCCCCCTCCTGGCGGCTCCTCCTCCTTCTCCTCATCCTCCTTCTCCTCCTCCTCCTCCTCCTCCTCCTCCTCCTCCTCCTCCCCTCCTCCTCCTCCTCCTCCTCCTCCTCCTCCTCCTCCTCCCCACCTCCTCCTCCTCTCCTCCTCCTCTCCTCTCCTCCTCCTCCTCCTCCTCTCCTCCTCCTCCTCCTCCTCCTCCTCCTCCTCCTCTCTCTCCTCCCCCTCGGGAGTGCTGAAATCAGTTCCGCGTTGGAGACATCGTCCCGGTCTGCCCTGAAAGCACCGAAGCCCAAGCCACCAAACAGGCAAACCATCTGAGATGTTCCCACAATTTGGTCCCGAACGGGCCCGTGAACCAACCCGTGAAACCAGCGCCTCGCTCGAGACATCCCCATCATCCGCTCTGAAGGCACCGAAGTCCAAGCCACCAAACAGACAAGCTGCCTGATGCATCCCCACGATATGGGCGCGAACGGGCCCGTGAAACACCCTGGCGGCTCCCCCTTGGAAGTGCTATGGAGTGCTGAACCCGGTGCCTCGCTTGGACATGCCCACAATTTGCTCGGAAACTTGTACGAGTGGGTCTGAGTACGTGTGCGTCTGAAAGCGAGAAAGTACGAGTGTGATTTTGAGAACCACAGCGTAGGAGTAGTGTAAGTGAGTCTAAGTGTGAGTAGCGCAAGTGAGTATGAGTGTGAGTGAAGAGTGTGAGTGAGCATGAGTGTGAGCGATGATGAGTGTAAGTGAGTCTGAGTGTGAGTGTCAGTGAGGCTGAGGGCGAGTGAATCTTCGCGTGAGTGAGTCTAAGTTTGAGTGAGTCTGATTCTGGATCATTCTGAGTATGAGAGAGCCTGAGTGGGTCCAGGAATACGAGGAGGAGGAGGAGGAGGAAGCAGGCGTGTTTCTTTGAGTCGGAGCCGCCTGAGTAATAACAGGAACCGCATCTCAGGAGTTGGGGGCAAAGGCATTCATAAGAGGGGGCCAGCGGATAATCCTTGGCGTCTTCGTCGACACTGCCATGAAGAGCCTGGTAGGAAACAGGGAGGAGAGATTGCAGGAGTTCGCCGACGGCCAAAGGCAGATGAGGAGTGACCTCACGGAGCTGTGCGCCGAGGCGGACCTCGACGCAGACGGGAAGCTGACAGTATCAGAGTGGAATGCTGCCATGAAGAATGAACGGCTCGTGAACTATTTGGAAGTCATGGAGTGGCGCCCAAACGAAGTCAGAGATTTCCTAACCCTGATGTGCCAGGACACCTCAGACGGTACCGTTGCCATCGACGTCTTCGTCCGCGCGTGCATGCGTTTCAAGGGCGCTGCCTCTTGCTACGACATGTCCAATGTGCTCAGCGCGGTGGACGACCTCAAGAGACTCATCAAGACCGCGCCCAGGCCAACTTCCAGGCCCCAGGCGGATGGAGCCGCTGGCGCTGTCCGCTGGTGAAGAGCAGGCCTCAATGGGCCACAGTCGGCGGACCAGCAAGCCAGTGGGATTCTGCACGGCCAGCGTGGCGCTCCGGACCTGGAGCCATCCGCACCGTTGCGCGCTTGAATGTAGTGGATTCCTTCCTTTGACTCTTTCTCCTCCGCTTCGTCCTTCTCCTCCTTTTCCACCGGTGCTGTCGCCACCATGCCATCACGGTGGCCCCAACGAGGGGGTGGCGGCGGCGGTGGCAATGCCGAAACGCGTTAGGAGGTGAGGAAGGCTAGACGAGTACAACCCCCAATCGTCTGGCTGTTGCTACGTGGGGGGCCTGTGCTCCGGGGAGGCTGCATCACCGCTCGACGATGGACTGTGCGTTGCTTTCTTGGCTTCAGTTTCAGCCATATGTGATGCGCTGCGAAGCCGCCGAGTGCCGTCCCCCACGACCCCCCCGCCGAGCCGCGAGGCTGCCGTGGATCGGCAACGGCAGCGCGGCACAAAAGGCCATGGCCCCCGTTGTTGTTTTGGGGGCCCTCTGGCTGGCTGCGCCGCGGGGGGCCAGGCTGCTCGCAGGGGTACCTCACCCGAGCTCATTCTGCCTCATTTTTCATTGGCCTCCGTCACGGAGGCGGGTTGGCTCCTTCGTGGCCCTTTCGGGGCGACGTTGCTGAGATGTTTCAAAAGTCCCCCGTCACTGCTGAATGCGAAAGGTGACTAATGCGGACACGTAAACGAATTTATTCAAAGTGCAGTCCAGTAGCGGCATTATCTGCACCCGGAGATCCTCTGTCTTGACTATTTCAACATGGGGTCCCCAGAAGCCGCGCGCGACCCTATTCCTGGAGCTTATCATCCTGAGTCATTTTGTCAACGGCCCCAGGACCCGAAAATTGCTCCAGGGGTATGGGTACGCGGAACAGGGCAGCCTCATTCTTCAAAACGTTGAAGGTTTGGGCACGCGGAGGGAGAGGATCCGAGCAGTGGCCTCGCAGGATCGAGCGCTCGAGGCTCCGCGAGTCTTCCGAGGCCTCGGGCGAGCGCCGAAGACCTCCCAAGACATCCCGTCGAGCACGGCGACGACTGGCGAGGATCGGCGGCGACGATGCTCTGGCATCGTTCTGCCTGCGCGGCGCCTCGAGGGCTGGTCTCTTCGCAGTGTGCGGGGGCAGGGCCCGCCCTTCCTCGGGAGGTTCTTTGCGCCGCGCACGGGGCGGTGGCGCGAGGGGGGGGGCCTTCTAAGAAGGCCGTGGGCCTCTAGGACAAAAGTTGTGAACAAAAAGGTCGTGGGCCTCTTAGAGGGCAGAAGCTTCCGTTGAGGGGACCGGGCTGGGATGCAACGGACGGGAGTATCAGGTCAGCATCGGCGCTGGCAGTTCCACAGTGGGACAGCGGCCGAGTCCGGAATCATCACGTAGCGTCCCGCTGAATCTCCCTCCAGTCCAGCTCGATCCTTGTCCTGTTCTGGTTCGGCAGCCTCCCACTCGGGGCTGATTGCCCTGAATCGTTCGTGCGAAGACCTCCCAGTAGCTGCCCCTCACCCAGAGGCTTCTGAAAAGTCCTCTTTTGGCGGCAAGCGAGGGAGGAAGTGAGAAGGAGAAGGCCTTCTCAGAAGGCGGTGGGACTTCTCAGAACTTCGGGGAAGCCTGATCAGACCTCTCAGGAGGCCGGGGGATCTCCGAGTCTTCTGAGAAGGCCTTCTCTTTCTCGTTTCCCCCCTCCCTCGCTCGCCGCCGATGCAAGCCAGGAGAGCTTGCAATCAGTTCCCCGCCTCCTGGATCAGGGCGCGCCCACACCTCGCGCCGGCCCCTTGTGCAAACGCCGCCGCTACATGGCATACAGGCGTCGCGCTTCTCGGTCTCACCGCCGTCGCAGACGCCTGCGGCGAGCTGCCGTCGGCTGCCTTTCTCCCAGCGGGCGAGGGGAGGTGTCAAGCAGACATCTCCCTCCGCCGTCGGAGACGCCCGTGATGGTTAATGCGTATCAAGTTTTGTTGTTGTTGTCACAGTGTTTCACCACCAACGGCGCCCCGGCCTCCACTGCAGTGCCCCCGCGGCAGTTGGACTGCAGGCCGCTTGTCCGCTTGTCCGCTCATGCCAGGGAGGCCTGTGTGACCGGGGGCCGGGCGAAGGTGTGGAAAAACACGATTGGGCCGGCAGGTTTTCAGACTTGCTTGGAGCTGTTGCTGGACGGGTTACACTGGGGCCATTTTGGGGCTCTTGGGGGGGCCCTCCTGGGCTTCTGGGGGGCCTCCTGAACTTAGTGGGCCCTGGAAACGACAGGGCCGTTTTTTTATTGGTTCCGTTCTGCAGTTTTTTTGCCGGTTCCGACGCCGTTTTTTTACCGGTTCCGTCGCCGTTTTTTGACCGGTTCCGGCTCCGGTTCCAATCCTGGAGCCGTTTTTTTCGCCGTTTCCGGTCGCCGTTTTTTTGCCGTTTCCATTTTCAAGGGACATTTTTTTGGAAACGGGAAAAAACGGCCCTGCCGTTTCCAGGGCCCACAAAGTTCCTGAAGCCCTCCTGGGGCCCTCTTGAAGATGGGAACCTTGGGACCATCGTCGGCCCCTCGAGGCCGTCTTCGGACTCCCTTGCGGCCCTCGTGCGGCATCCTGGGGCTGCCTCGGGCCACCTGGCGCTACAGGGTGCGTCTCGGGGTCCTCTCTCGGGCCGTCCTGGGCCCCTCCTAACTACGCCATCTCGCAGCCCTTGCCACTCTGTCTGGGCTCTTTCGGGCCCCGTAGGGGTGAGGGCCTCGTGGCTTGGCAAGGCGAGCACGTTCAGCGTATTGATCGGACCAGCGTTTGGTTATTCTGACGTTTGCCTCTTGAGCAGCTCCTGGGGATCCAGTGAGAGCACTTACGGAGTTTCTTGGAAACCTCTTGGGCAGTCGTGGGGTACGATTGGGCCGTCGTGGGGCCATAACAATCGGACCGTCATGAGATCCTCTTGTGGGCCATGTTACTATATCTTATGGAAAGAAATTGTCTAACCAGGGTTGGCCAGAGGGGGTTGGCCGGGAGGGTTGGCCCGATCTCCAGAGGTTGGCCAGGAAGGTTGGCCAGGTCCGTCGTCGCAGGAGTTGGCATTGCGTTGCTCATAAGGGTTGGTTGGGATTGGCCTGGGGGCTTGGCGATGCCAATTCTTAGATAACTAATTCTTTCTATAATGCATAGAAGGCCACCTCGTGCAATCTTGGAGTCCAGCGCCGATTCAAGAAATCCGCGCGCGGACCTCTGAAAGTGCACGCTTATGCGGTTTCTGCTTCTGCTTCTATGTCTACGAAGGCCGTACGACAAATGTCACTGTTGCTTCCGTAACTCCTGCGCGTAGCCGCAGTCGGCTAGCAGGCGATGCGTCGGCCCAGAGATATGGCGGTCCTCATGGGCGGCCCTGCGCATGGGGGTTACATCGCATCTGGCTCGAGAAGATCGAGGCGATCGATCTGGCTTCCGGTTGGCTGGCCTTGCGCAATGGGGGTTATCAACAGAACAGTTCGGGAGGAGCAGCTTGTCCCAGGGGAACCGGTCGATCGGGCAGTGTCAAGGGGGTCACCATTAGGAGGGTCCTTACCTCCTCTTGGAGATCGGATGTCGAGGAGGAGTGATGGATGAGGATCGAGGATGTTTTGGGGGTCCAGGAAGGGTGGTTTCCTGAAGGAGGTGAACCCCTATTGGTGACACCCGTTGGCCTGGCCTGGGTCGAGAGGTCCGGGGGCACAGGTCTCGAAACGATCGCGCCGACTGACCTTTTGCGGAGTGGGCGTTCGAACGGGCCTAGAATCGAGACAAATCCGTTCCAGAGCGCTCCGAAACGCTTTCAGAATGTTCCAGAACGCTTTGAAAAGGCCGCGGCGCCCGATACATCTTGAGCACCCGCCGATTCTCAGAGATTTCCGATTTATATCGGTTCAAGGTTGTCTCGATTATATTTCCGTCTTGGGCGATGTCTCGGCCACTTTCCTCGCATCACCTTTAGGAAGACTGACCGTTCAGGATGAAAGGGAAATTCGGTGGTACACCCCCTGGGAGTGTTTGGACATACCCTTTATCGAGGATAGACACCGGACACTCGTATATCCCCGAGTTCAGCCCCTCACGTTTCGTCCTTTCGTCGAAAATCATACGAAGTCGGGGTTTGGGGTCGCCATCCCCCCCCCTGTCAATCGTGCCACGCTCCAGGAAGTTTGGGAGGAGGTGAAAAACCATTGGAATAATTACACAGACCTTGCCAGGCGGCACAATTCCGACACGCCCACATCCGCGCAGACAGTGTGGTGGATCTGCCGTTGCCCTTCGATGACGAGTTGTTTCTCGTCCTCGTCTTCCTCCTCCTCCTTCTCGTCTGCTTATGTTGCATGTTCGGGGGGGCCTGCTCTGTCCTGTAGGTTGCGGTGTTGTGTTTGTTATGTTCGAGGCGGTCCCGATTCGGATCCAGCGCTGACCTGGCAGGGCTTCGACGCGGATTCCACACGGAGTCGATGCGGCGACGTGGGATCGACGCAGCTTCGGCGCCGACTGTGGCGCGACGGGACAGGCACGCTCCCCAGAAGCCAGGGCACGGCAGACGAGAGGCGTGAGCGGCTTGTGATGGTGACGCCCGAGGCCTCGCCGAACCCGGACGAGGCGGGACAAGAAGCTTCGGAGGCTGTTCGGTTGTTGCCGCGGGGCCCTCCAGGGGCCCGAGGCTTCTGAGAGGGCTTCCGAGAGGCTGGCGGAGGCGTCTGCGAGACCCTTATGGCTTCTCAGAGGCCCCTCTACTGCACCTTCTTGGAAGGACGCACCCGCAGGATCCATTTCGATCCGACCGATTCGATGCGATAATGCGTCCAAGTGGTCAAGGAATCTGACGGCGCTTCATTTTGGGAAGTCGGCGAATCGGATTGGTTTGGCGAAGGACCCGAACCAAAGCAGCTGCGAGCAGCGCAGGATGTGACCCTCTCCTCATGAGTTTCTGTCGCGACCGCAGGCGAGCGCGCCAACGGCGAGAAGGGTCGCCCTCTCCTCATAAGCAAAACACCGCAAACGGGGATCAGCTCCTTGTGGGGCCGCGACACGTGTGGGGTGCGTGCCGAAATATGCAATGCGAAACCCTTCCGCTGGGGCCTTCAGTGTGGCTCCTTGTGCGGCCACGACGCGTGTGAGGGGTGTCCCGACCAGGGCGGGAGGATCGTACGCGATACCCTTTCGCTGAGGCCTTCGGTTGAGTTGCCTGCGGGGCCATGAAGCGTGTGAATGGTGTGTCGAGATTGGGAGAGGGACCGCATGCCATACCTTGCAACGAAGGCCTTCGGTGGAGCTCCTCGCGGGGTCACGAGATGTGCGAGGGGTGTGCCGAAACATCTGCGGGGAGACGCTACGCAACACTAGGTCGCTGGGCGTTCGGTGGAGCTTCCTGCGCTGCACACGCCACCTGTGAGGAGTGTGTGCCGAAATCGGCGGTGGGGGGGCACGCTATGCACCAGCATGCCACTGGGGCCTTCGTCGGAGCTCTCCTTGGGGACCACGCCACGTGCGAGGGGAGTTCCGAAATGGGCGGGGTCCGCTCCGCAGCACCATACCTTTGACGACTTCGGTGGAGCCCCCTCTGGGGCCACGAAGCGTGTGGGGGGGGGCCGACATGGACGTGTGCCGACATGGACTGAGGCTTGTGGTGACGCCCCCGTGGGGGCCACTCCCCGTGTGGAGGGTGGGCCGGACCATGGGCGGGGTGTCGCCATGCAGCACCGCGCTGCTGAGGCCTTCGGTGGTGCGTACCGCGGGACCATGAGGCGAGAGAGGAGTGTGCCGAAATGGGCGGGGTGGCGTTATGCAACATCACGGAGCGTGCGATGGATATGCCGAGATTTGCGGGGGGACGCTGCGCAACAACGTGCCACTGGGGTTTTCAATGGAGGCCCCTGTGGAGCCACGAACCGTGTGAGGGGTGTGCCGACACGGACGGGGGACGCTCTGCAATTCCATGCTTCTGAGGCATTCGGTGGAGCTCCCTGTATGCCCACGAACCGTGTGAGTGGTGTGCCGGAATGGGTGAAGTGACGATGAGGACAGAGGCGGGCAGAGGCAAAGAGGAGAGGGAGAGAAATGGGGGATGCGGGAGAAGGCAGTCACACGCTGGGCGCTGCGGGTTCAGAAGATGAGCCCGGCACAGCAGGATGGCTGGAAGAAATGTCCCCAGCGCCTCTCGGGCTTGGGCCGCGGCGGCCGACGAAGCGGGTACATTTTGGCCGACTCCATGCGGTATTCATTCTGGCCAGCTCGATCCGATCCGATACCAATCTTCCGACTCTTCCGACAATCCGATGCGGCTCGATGTTCGCACAGCGCGGTTCTGCATTTTGTTGCGGCCGCGCCGATTCGGTTTCGACTCCGTGCCGATGCAGCCCGATCCGCCGCACGGTCGGATTCTACCCGATTTCCCGATTCGCGGCCGATTGGGTCTGATCTTGTGCGCGCCGCCAAAACACCCTTCTCGCGATTCCACATCCCAGCCGTCCACCCTCTGTCGTTCCGTCCGCTCTGCAGCCGGGCTGCTCGGCCCCACCCCCCCTTCTCTCGGGGGCAGGAGCGTGACCATGAGACTCGCAACGGAACAGCATGGTGGACGTTCTTTGGGGTAGGCTCGCGAGCGATAGACGTTCAACAACAGTGTATGCACGATCGAAGACGCCTACGGCGAATCACCGCTGGTCCCTGCTTTTTTGAAGAGCGTCTCTGTGGCCAAACGTTTGAGTCCAGAGCTTGGATAAAGTTGTCGGACCAGATGTTCCACGATCCGCTGTGGAAACCTGTTGGAGAACACTGGGAGGAGCATGAGGCGGAGAATGCTGAGAGGGAGGAGGAGGATGATTAGGAGGGGGAGGAGGTGGAGGAGGAGGAGGAGGAGGAGGAGGAGGAGGAGAAGGAGGCCTCCTCAAGCCGTCTGTGGGCCGTCTTTGGGGTCTCTTGGGCCCGCATGGGGTCATCTCTGAAGCCTTTTCGGCGATCTTGGGACGATCTTGGGAATATCTTGGGCCGTCTTGGGCTGTCGGAAGGCCAGGAAAAAAAGAGCAAATGCAAATATCTTTCAAAACCCAAGGGCAAAGGTATGTTTTGTTGCTCCTTCGGGTCCTCCTGCAGGACCTCTTGGAGGTATCTTGGGCCGTCCTGGAGGCCTTTGGGGGGCCTCGCGGGCCGACTTGGGCCATCTTCAGACAATATTGGGCCGTCTTGGCTTCATC